GATTGCTTCTTCATTATTGATATTAGTATGTATATTATAATAATAATAAGTATTAATGATAATTATTCTTTGTTTGCTCAAGCAACACGAATAATTACTATTATTCCTAATAATATTTTCCTACCGTTGGCTAGTTCAGAAATCTTTTATGGAAATGACAATCACATGTGTGTGTTCTCAAAGGAGAAATAAAACTCTTACAGTTTAAGAGTTTACCCAACATTCTAGAATCACAGGGTTAAAGGAGAATTTTGTTCCCGCAGCAAGTAACCAGAGGTCTTAGTTATAGCTCAACAATTGTAGCATTTCCAGCAACTTTTCTTTGGCCTTTGATAATGACTTAAGTATAGTTTTTGCATATCTCTTGGATAAACAAAGGAGAGGAGTGGGCTGGTAAGTCTAGCTGTTCACTCATAATCCTATCCCACAGCCTGACTCCCTTATCTTTATGGCCCTGAGGCTTTGGAAATCTAGCCTATAAACTAGTAGCTAACTTTAGGAGGGGGAATGAGAATCACCATCAGTCCAAAGCTGATTCCTGTATGAGGTGGAGTTCCGACACACCTCCAACTCCCCAACCATTTTACCAATTTTAATACCAGCCACCACCACTCCCACCACCCCCCACTCCCCACAGCACTCTCTACTTCTCTGCTGGATAATTCGTTGTAATGGCCACACAGAACTCATAGACCATACTCACGATTATGTGGTTTCACGATTATTAGGAAAGTAACAGACTACAGCTCAGGATAAGGATCAACTTGGAAGTAACAGGAGATAGATCAGGATATATAGTTCGTCAGTCAGGACAGCTTCCCACCAGGACACTTCTAAGCTCCTTCTTGGCCATGCTAGCAGGCAGGCTGCGCTCCAGCCTTTCCTGGTGCGCCCTGCTTGACCTGGCTTCTGCCCCCAGCCACTGCTCAGGCCTGGCAATTTCAGAAATCTTTTATGGAAATGATTTTCCATAAAAGGGCCAAACAATAGCATGACGGTCTGTGTCCATCCCCTTATAGTGGCTGTGTTTGGACCCATAATAGTGACAGCAGTGTTGTCTAAAATAAATAAATAAATACAGTTCTCCCTGGTAATATCAGAAGTTTACCATTTTAAAAAAGGAGAGTCATACATTTGGACATGAGTGGAATGTCATCTAAAGAAATAGCAGAAGGCAGTAGGACTGGTGTAATTTAGACCACTCTCGCTTAGATGTAAATTAAGGCACAGAAGGTTAATGTGACCCACAGTTAAAACACACGGCCACTATTTAGGGGTCAGGCTGTTACATGTAAGGTTAATTTTTTCAGGGCACCAGAATATACTATGAAGCATCTTAGAAGAAGTAATTTCAAGAAGGAGTTTATTCATCTACATTGGTGAAAAATTTAGCTGCAGAAAGTACCATAAATTTACTCCTTTTGAATAAAATTTCCCACACTATGCTGGAAACTTGCTCATTGGACTCCCATGTAAAACCATTGTAAAAATGTTCATTTGCTTGTGTGAAAATTATGCAGTAGCTTCCCTGAGTAGATGTAGCTTAGATGTAGCTAAGTGTTTGTACGAGTTAGAAATCTTTTTCTTTTTTTCTGGCTATGCCATTTTAAGAACTTTTAGGTAGCAACTTGAAATGAATACCATAAATTGAAGGATTTTTTTTGTATATTAAAGCATGGTATTCAAATATATGCATTAATATATTCATTTATCCATGTATCTTTATATATGTATATTCATGTATTTAATAACCATTTAATAAACTGTCTATTGAAACTCAGTATAGAACATTGGCAAGGTTAAAAATCAATCAGCAAGATTTTATGTTTAAAGTAGCTATAAACTGTATGAGTGTGTTGTGTGCTGTCGAGTCGATTCCGATGCATAGCAACCCTGTATGACAGAGTAGAAATGCCCCATGGTGTTTCCCAGGCTGTAGTCTTTATGGAAGCAGATTGCCAGGTCTTTTCTCCCATGGAGCCACTGACGGGTTCAAACTGCTAACCTTTGATTAGCAGCCTAGTGCTTCACCATTGTGCTACCAGGGGTCCTTATAAGCTATATAT